CTGGCTGTGCTGTGCCCCTGCCCGCTCCCTGGCGGGATACACGACAATGCCTCTGAATATGACCCCTCATCCCACATCCATAGCATACGGGTAACTCCAAGTAACAAATCCCTGAGTGCATCCTCCCGCACTTCTCCAGGCCGAACGATGAAGGGACTGGATACATGGAAACTTCTCCAATATATGTATGAAACAAACGGACACATGTAATATTCTCCAATGAATGAAATAAAGCAGCATTTTTACTCTCCACCAAGTCTCTTCACACTTTACATTCGACCTTTCTCGAATTACTTTACGTTCGACCTCACTCGAATAACTTTACGTTTGACCTCGCTCGAATTACTTTACGTTCGACCTCGCTCGAATTACTTACGTTCGACCTCGCTCGAATTACTTTACGTTCGACTTTGCTCGAATTACTTTACGTTCGACCTCACTCGAATTACTTTACCTTCGACCTCGCTCGAATTACTTTACGTTCGACCTCGCTCGAATTACTTTACATTCGACCTCGCTCGAATTACTCTACTTTCGACCTCGCTCGAATTATTTTGCATTCGACTTCGCTCGAAATCTTCAATGTTCGACCGCATCGAACATCGATCTTATTAAAAAATTAGGGACTTCCCCACATAGCAAAAAGAAAAGAGAACGAAAATCAAGAAACATGTAGCCAAAAAGGGGCTGTTCCACTACAACTGTCAAATTACAATAATTTTTACAAAGGGCCCAAAGACGCCCTCACAAAAATAGCAAAACAAAACAAAAACTAAGTATGACGGCTTTACGCCACGTCCTCCCCATCGGCATACTCATCATTATACCAAGAATCGGAGGCAAGCCTATCCGCATCATCGTCAACATCATCCCCACCAGGCTTACCAGGGCGTAACTACAAGCTTTACGGGCCGCACGTGCCTTAACACGGATGCCCTCGAGTTCTGCTTCAAAAATTTTCCCATCGGCTTTCAAAGACTTATACACGTCCAGATGAGCCTCGGCGTGAACCCACATCTCATACAACTTCCGCGGCACACCAGGGTCGGCAGAAGTATGAGACGTGGATGACTGTGACTGCTGTCACACCTCCTCGGCCTTCAAGGCAATGACCTGCTCACTCAATCCGAATAACTCCGCCTCCAGATCCTGGATCCGCTCTTCTAACCTCGCCAGCATAAGCGCCGATGTCTTCACCTCATTCTTCCGCTCGAACCTACAAACGCGGAGGGCATCTTCTAAGGCCGCCGCTTCAACCACAGCGACCACTCTGCTTTTCTCGGCACGAGTCAATTCTTCGAACTTGGCGCTCAACTCTCCCCTTAGATCAACAGCCGTCGCCTCTCTCTGCCCAAGTTTAGCAGTTAAGGATGCCACCCGCGCTTGAAGATCGACATTCTCAACCATCACCCCCTTGCTCACCTCGAGCTCATCCTCCTTAGCCTTTAGAACTGCCTCAAGCTCGATACCGACCGATCTCTCTCATTAGCTCATCATCCCTCTCCTTTAGATCTTCATCTTTTTTTGCCAACTCCTCATCCTTCTGCTTGAGCTCGTCACGAAACAACTGAAATTCGTTATCCTAGTTAAAGACGTCGGCCAGCGTTCGGTACTTAGTATGGTACTCCCTGTACTTAGAGGTCACCTTCTTAATGATGGCCGTCCTCCGCTCCTCCCGCCGGTCACGCTCGATCCCCATGATAAGCGTCTGACATGCAAAAGAAAGGAGTCAGTATGAGAAGATTACACATGCGATGCAAATCCTAACATTAAAAAGAACTTACTCGCAAAGCCATGCTAGATATACTCAGCGACAACTCCGCACCGCTCATCGCCTGTAGTTCTGTGTTCTCAGAAGTCGCGCATAAGGGGGCAAAGAATGGCACCGTCCGTTCCGAGTTGGCCAAAAGGTCATAACCCACGGGAATGATTACGTGCCGGTTAGGACCCTCTGTCCTTACCTCCACACGAGTATTCCTCTCCAAGAAGGCCCGTACCTCTCTAGAATCGATATTCGAGCCAGAACCGTCGCCCTCTGCAGGTATCGCTCTATTTCCCCTAGCCGCCGATGACGCACCACCTTCTGCGATCCTTACAAGCTCCCCGCCATCATGCACCCCCTCAGCCCCAGAGGGCCTCCTCTCCATAAGGGCATCTGCCGTAAAAATGGCCCCTACATCTGGTGCAAGTGCATACGCCGCTTTCGAAGCAAAGAATTTCTCCGGCTCAATATCAACGACGACGGCCTTCCCGAGCTCCATCCTTCGCCTTTTTCTCAACGGCGACTCCTCTTCACTAGACGACTCATCTATAAGGTGATAGATGGCCGGGAAGAGATTTCATCTCTCACCACAACAGTCTGAGGGCGGAATCCCTAATTGACGGAGCTTGAGTACGACCTCCACGAACGGACTCGACTAAAGCAAATTGCATCCCAGCCGATGCGATAGCTTGGCGAAATGCCAGCACTGGAGCTTTCTTCTTGGAAATTCGTCGACCTAGCACCAAAAGGAGGTCGCATCAACGAGCAATGGTAAACAACAGTAAGCTGAAGTAAAAGTAACACTTACTAGACGGGACCTTGGGTCCAAAACGCTTGTAAAAAGACGCCCAATCACGAATCCCCACCATGTGAGGCAACATGCGAGCCACCCAATCTTCGATGTCAAAGACAGTAGAGGGTGTGCGCCTCTAAGCTGAAAAATAAGGAAACCACAAGTGAGCTGAAAACGAAAGAATGAAAGAAGATAACGAGCGTATGACAGAGACACTTAGGATTATGATTCCACTGCTCGGGAAATCCAGTCGGATCTACCACCAAGTGCTCGGTCTTGATGAAGAAGTACTTATGCCAGAACTTCCGATTCGTTCTGTCATCCGTTCCGACTACCAGCCCTCTGGTCCCACGATGTCGTAGGTGTATCATAGTACCTCGATAAAAACTGCGCGAAAATAAGTGCAGCAGGTGGCGAACGTCAACCTCACAGCCAGCCAACTCTGCATACTTCGTCAGCATCAAGAAAGCTTTATACAAGAAAGGAGAGAGTTGCGCCGGGCAGACGTTGTAAAATCGGCAAAATTCCCCCGCTAGCGGAAGGAGAGGAAGAGTATTACCAATCAAGAACGGATAGACATAGAAGGCACAATACCCGGGTCGATGGACCTCCACGATGTTGCCACCGGCCGGAACTATGTCGATATGGGGAGGGATGCGATATTTGGACCGAAGGTCGGCTATATAAGGCGGTCCAGTCTCAGAGAGCACCTGAACGGGAGCAGGAGCAGGAGCAGGAGCAAGCTCCTTTGGAAAATCATTTCTAGCCAAAGGGTTTTTGGGAACTATCTCTTCCGCGGTAGGGAAGCTATCATCCTCTTCAGCCATGAATTCCTCACCGCCGTGAGGAAGGGCCACCGATAACGGAGTGTCATCGGAAACTTCATCATGAATGTAAGGGGGTTGAGACATATTTCAACAATGAAACGTATTCTACCAAGCCCGAAGAAGAAGATAACAACTGGTAAGAAATAGGGGAATGGAATCGGAGAAGCAAAATCAAGAGCAGAAATCGAAGAAGAAGATCAAAGAGGAACAGTGCTCATGCAAAGTAAAGGATGGTGAAAACTTCCGAAAAATGAAACCCTCATCTATTTATAGGGTTGGGTGGCGTGAGAATCGAAGCAAAGGATTGTCAATGGCACCAAAACCAAAGAGACAGACGCACAGACGCTGCATCGGGGAGATGCACAATGATGACGCGCGTGGCCATGACGTCATCTCACGATAGCCACACCAACCACAGCTTCGCTGGCTGCGCCGTTCTCTCGACCTCGGCCAATTTGATCTGATCAACGCGACCAAATTTCTTCTAAAGGACGCGAACTGGGTCCGCTTATTGAGGGCGTGCAAGACTACGACTTCATCAAGCGGAGGGACTAACTGTATTGGTCTAAATTTGGCGACTTGGTAATAGCTAGATACAGGATCGAGGACGGGGTCGACCATGGCGTAATAGCGAAAAGCCCTCTTCAAGGGGAGCGTAGTCGAGGACGTACAACTGGGGTACAGGAGTAACGGTAGGATAGATTTAGGAATGAATACAAGGAATATTCCTTTGGATATTCTCTATTTTGTATTTATTAGGGTTTCTTGGAAATACCCCCTAGAAATAGGAAGAGATAGAGAATAAGAGGGGGATCTTCACTTTCTGAGAAAGACATATTGTAAAAGGTTGACTTGAGAGAATATACAAAAGTTTTCTTCATTTATTATCTTATCCAAGCACATGCTACTTAATCTTTGTTCACAAGATCCAAAGATTCCATAACCATTTTCACTTCTCTTCTTTCCACGTTGTTGTCAGGGGAAAGAACCATCCAAGTCATACAATAATTGGGTGGTAGATTCTTTCTTATTACCTTTATTGCCATTATCTACATTTATTGCATGTTTGTATTATCATATTTATTAGCATTCATTGAATACATACGTGCCGATTAACGTTGTTCATCTTACCGAATTCTCACAGTATTTGGTCTAGAATTTATTATTTTTAACTAAAATTCATCCTTCATCTCATCATTAACTGGTTTAACTAAAAGACTCAATACTATTTGGTCAAACATGTTGGAACCTGAAAAGATCAAGGCAGAAGAAAATGCATTTTATTTTTCGATTTGGTAAGAAATTTAATAATTACCAATTAGTTTTTTATCAGGAACAAAGTTAAAGAAATATAAAAAATATTTCTGACGTGTAAGCCAAATATATATAACATAACCGAATTTTTTCTTTTAAATGAATAGTAGTAGTAAGAGTTTAATACGTCTTCTCATTTTTTCTCAACTTATAAAAGAATAAACATTTATAGTGGATAAATCTATGTCATGGATAAAATTGAAAATTATGTTATACCCCACATAAAATGGAAAGGTGGATTGTGGACGGATTTGGATTAAAAGGGGAATTAAAAGCGGCCCAAAAGAAGAAAAAGGACATCCAGTTTCAAAATTTGAAATACAGCACGGCAAGGAGCGATGCCTGTGTACCGTTGGAAAGACACAGACTCAGGCTGATTCATTCCTCTATAGAGCTCAGCTGAAAAGAGATAAGAGTCACACAGAAAAGGAAAACAAAGACGAAGAACTGAACAATATGAGACGCCATGGCTGGCAACGTCCTCTTCACACGTTGCAGGTTAGCCATCTACACTTCTCTTTAGTTTTTTTCTCCTTTCTCTTTCACTTCTTTTGGAATTAAACAGCGTTTATCTTTAGTTTTAAGCTGGTGTTCAAATGCAGATAGTGGGAATTTCAGTCTTCTGTTTCCTCTTAGTGACTTTTTACTGCTTCCTGGGTCTTCTCCTCGGTAGTAGGATTGCTGAAATCACTGTCACCTCTCTTTTCACCTTCGTGGTAATTTAATTTCTCCAGTAATTTTTTTAGCTCAGTGTATTCAGACAACTGTATTTTAAGGCACAAATCAAAATTTTGCGTATCTGCCTTTCCTTTTATGCAGGCACTTTCTGCTGCATTTCTGTTTATAAGGTGTGCGGCCATTGATCCAACTGACAGGACGAGGTTCAGAGTGAAGAAAAAAAGCAATCGCACTGGGTTTTCGAACGTTAATTATGGATTTGTGTTGGGTCAAATTATTGTGAGATTTATAAGGAGAATAGAGAGGAGAGTCCTTAAGACCTTCATAAGGAGAAAGTACTTGGATCCTTTGAAGAGTAATCTTCATTTGGAGCCTTTGCTCATATTTCCCCTTCTCGTCAAAGATGATTTGGTCGCGCCACAGACAAGGGAGGATGACATTTCGTTTTGTTCGCTTTGTGATTTTGAGGTTCGCCGCTGCATCTGATATTTAAGTTTTGCTAAATTGAATAGACCCCACTAGAATTTATGTTTTAGATAGGGCATATGTTTTTTGTTTCACTGTCTACTTGCACACGCCAAATGGCTCAGCCAGGAATTTATATAAGGGGATTCAAAAAAGTACTACAATCTCGTAGTTGAGATTTGAACTTGTGACCTAAAACAACTTTTGGGCCCCCTTTACCACTACATTAGAATTTTCCTTCATGTAAAGGGGATTAAACAGTTTTAAATAATCAAAAAAATTAAAATATTGCCCTATTTACGTGGTATATTTTTTCGACAAAGAAAATTCAGTTGAATCCCCTCCCTCTTACTAGCTTCGCCCCTGGCACGCACATTGTTAATGTGGTGAAACAACATTATGCAGTTTCTAATAGTTGACAAATATATGAAAGTATCTATCTTGATCGTGTTTGCAGGTTAAAAAGCATAGCAAACACTGTCGGACCTGCAACCGATGTGTGGAGGGATTTGATCACCACTGCAGAGTAAGGAAATAGGATCTCTTTCTCTGTTGCTTCGTACATTAATTAAGGTACATCCGTACTCAAACTGACAGGATCTTTGTCTTTGAGTTGTTGCAGTGGTTAAACAATTGTGTCGGGAAGAAGAACTATACCACCTTCATTTTTCTAATGATATCCCTCTTGATAATGGTTGCTCTCTTTTTCTCTCTTGCACTCTCTTCTTTTTCCGGTATTCCTATTGAGTTTACATCTTAAGCTGCTAACAAATTTCCTGGTGAAACAGCTGCTTATTGAAGGAGGGACTGCTGTTGCCATATTTGTAAGGTGCTTTGCCAACAAAAGGAGCATAGAGCAAGAGATTCATATAAGATTCAATGCCAAGTTCCCTAAAGGAGTTCTTGCAACATTTTGTGTATGATTCTTTGCTTGTTTCTCTATTCCTCCCTAGATTCCATCAGTTGTTTATTTTTTAATGTATCTTTTACAGGTGATTTTGTTTCTAATGACATCATATTGTTCGGCAGCACTGGGGCAGCTTTTCTTCTTTCATATAGTTCTCATCCGAAAGGTATGACTGTTCCCCTTTACCAAAGATTTGTTGCAACAATAAAAGCATAACATATCTTTTGGATTGAGAGGAAGCAAGCGGAAGGAGAGGAGAGGGCTGAATTTGCTTTTGTATTGGTTTTTATTGAGAGAAGGCAGAATAGCGTCATGAACAAAGAGTTCTGATTTTCGCTTAAAAATAAGCGGAAAGGAGACCTTATCACATATGTGAAAAATAATATTTCATTGAGGGTTTATCGACACCCATTTCTTTCTTTTCCTTTCAACTAATGTAAGATAGTATGTAGGCTTATTATGTACTCCTATGTGATTAGTAAAAGCAAGCTTATTTATATATGGGAAATTGGAAAAATTAAAAACATGAGCTACTTGATTGCTTTAGTGTAGGAAACTTTAGGATAGAACCAAGGCTACTATTACTATAGCGTATGCTTCTAATACCACAAAAAAGTGGGTGCCACGTTAATCTTAAAGTAAGACAACATAAGAAAATCTACTTAGAAAAGAGAACTTAGTTTGTGGGCTGGTACAAGAACATCTTAGAGTACTATGTATGTTGGTGTAAGAATCCTAAAGTAGCTCTTCTTAGAGCTCCTATTGCTATACTGTAGGAATTCTAAAGTAAGGTTCATTATATGCTTAGCTCTTCGTAGTTAGTGCTGCTGCAGCCTCCTCCTTAACAAGTTTGTGCTGAGAAGACAACACATCGTAGGCTTGTAGACTACTGAGAACATAAGAAACTCGGCGTACAAGTTGCCCAGCATTCTCAGTTAAGTTTCTTGGTTTCACTGCTCATGATAAACCATGGTTCTGTTTGCAGGGAATGAGAACTTATGATTACATTTTAGCAATGAGAGAGGAGAACCAGTCTATGGAGCTTTTAGAGTCATCAGAAGATTCAGATTCCTCCTCGGATGAGAGTATCGACTTTGATTCACCTGAGAAGCCATCACTTATTTCACGACTTAGATGCAGAGAAAAAAGAATGAATCAGGTATGGTATGCATATTTTTTGCCTTAGTTTTTTGCATTCCTAGACCAATCAAAACTGGATATTTCTCTTTTGATCTTGTAAGTTGAATCTTGCACTTTTTGATCAGATCCCGCAGACAGTATCAATAAAAATTGATGGAGAAACTGAATCGTCCACATTGAAAGAAAAGCGAGGTTTTCGAGCTAACATTGACCCCTGGAAACTTATAAGTATGAGTAGAGAGAAAGCTCTACAAGCAGCTGAAAAGGCAAAGGAACGGCTCATCAAGCAGAAGGAAATAGTAGACCCAATGAAGCCACTACCACTAGAAACAAGAAGTGGACCACTGATGAATTTGGATACTAATAGAGTTCCCTTAGCTGTGGCGAACAGTAGGGAACTTGGTTTGACAAAAGAAGTGATCATCACAAAAGGGAGGCTAACCCGTAGTGGGCGATCGCCATTGCAGCTCTCTAGTCCAAGGCGGCGGTGTTCCTATTCTCCAACAGTTGGTATCCCTACACCTCGTAGTGGTAATGCTACTGTAGCATCCCCATCACCGAAACATAGATATAAAGGCAATTTCGATTTGAAATTAACGCAAGTCTCCAGGGAACTTGAGACTTACATTTCGAGGCAGGTATTATTTTCTGCCTTGAAGAAAGAAAATGAGATTGCAGCATCGCCAAGATAGTATGGGGATGGGTACATTTTTCTTCTTTTAGTTCACTTGTAATAGTATTTATGTTACTGGAATTGTTGCACAGGTTGACTCCATCATCATAACGAAGAACAACATTTGTATGATAATGTAACCTGCAATACCATATTTATTGATATTCCCCAACAAAGCGGGATTCAAAGATACATACTCTGCTCTCTTTTTTTGAGGAATATTTGTTGACCTTCAAGAGAGTAATGTGGTTAGTGAAGATATACCAACTTGGAACTTAGGCATAGTTATTTTTTGTATTTGTTGCCCTTCTTATTAGCTGAAAATTCTATTAATGTATTGTAGAACTCCACTTGACTTGGTTATTCTCCACTTGAATATGTCGATGGGTTTTGGTCAAGAACTCCTTTTATTGTTCTCCACAATTTTTCTTATTTTCCTACTTTTAAAGTTCTATCAATTTAAAATTTTCACTTATTAGTTTAATCTTGTGCAAATTAAAACTAAAGCAACCAATTCGAACGGTGGTGGTGCTTAAATTGACCTTTGATTCAACAATTGCGTTTCACTTCTCAAATTTGCTTTCCCTGCTAGTCTAGAGGAATTGTCAGTATTAATATAGGCGATTACGTAACCGGTCTAATTACAAGTCCTAGCACATCCCTACTAGGGCTACGAGTGGACTTGACTAATGACTTATGTCTAAATCCTATTAACGACTTCCTATTTAAGCAAAAAAGAAAAAAAAATATTCAAACCAACCAATCTTTAAGCAATAAAATAAAATAGAGTAGTTATATTTGAATGAGCTAGTCTCAAAGAGCATGGATGATATTAAATGAGTAGAATCAAGTTTAAAATTCTAATATTCAGACCAAGGATCTAAATTTGAAAAAGTGGCCAACTTCTAAATACAAGGCAACAAATGTGGCCATCTGACTTAAACACCAAGCCCATGTTCAACGTAGCTCATTATATATGTCCAAACACAGTTCGTAGTTTCTGAAATTTTCCAAGGCAGGAGAGGTGAAAGATGAGTATGCCAATTACTGCTTCTAGAACCAAATCTACCGGAGAAGATGTCTCCGTTTGCGGCAACTCTTTTCCTCAACAGAAAATGTAAACCTCTTCGATTGATTTTTAATATAGTCAATCTAGTTGTAGTAAGCATTGTTAATTAATGGCTGCGGTTTCTGATGTACACCATAAATGTAATGCAGCAGGTGCTATGAAGGTGAAGTTCTGGACCGTCTTCTCACATCGATTAAGAGGTAAATATATCCTTTTCCCTGTTTCTCAAGTGTCTTTTTTTTTTTTCTTGCCGAAAGATATTAACGACGCCAGCCGCAGGGAGATAGCAACAGCCAGAAACTCCGACGTATCTTTACCTGAGAAACTTTGGCTTAAGGTTGGTTCCTACTCTCCTCTTCAGTTTTTTTTGGGTATATTTTAAGTAGAAAAGGTCCAAAGTCCTGTTATATTCGAAATTATTCAATTTTGTCTCCCTTAGATTTTTGGTTTTTTCATACCCCTGCACTGCCATTAACGGAGCTTCATCTGCACTGCCATTAATGGAGCTCCACTATGAATATTGGTGGACTCCACGTGTCCAAATTTACCTCTCAACTTATGATTATGATTTAAATTTAACCTCGTGATTAGACTTTTTCCTAACCACGGGTAAAGATTAGACCAAAAATGTAAAGGGGCAAAGTGGCTGGGGCAAATCTGACCCTTTAGCCTATTTTAAACCCCATTGTTCTCCACCATCCAACGTCTCTCAAAGAAGGAAATATTACCAATTAACTTATTTAAAAGAAAAATGCATTTTTCCAGTTTTCATCTCATACTCAACTGCCGATTTGATATGTGTGCAGCAACTGTTTTCAGTAGGGGTGAATGAAATTACTCGGGTGCTTGAGAGAATGCCCCCGATTCCTGCTAATGAACGCTCATCACTATCGGCTAAGATGCATTCTGCTCGACTTCAGGTTTAGCTCGCCTACTCATGAACTTTTTACTAACTCAACTTTCATTTGGTTTAACCTGGCTAACAAATTTCACGTGTGGTTTATATGATTATTTGAGGTTTTCAGAATCTACAGGATTGCAACTTCTCTTATATGATGCATTAATGTGTTATACTCTTTGGCATTGTTCATTGTGGATATTTAGGTTGTACTAATAGCATCTGATTGTCATCCGCGGTTGCTGACCAAACATCTGGAGAGCTTGGCTATTTCAAAAAAGGTACCAATTGTCTTTGTCAAAGACAAGAAAAGAGGTTCTTTGAGATTAGGTGAATTGGTAAAACTTAAAACTGCAATTGCCATTGGCGTTAAGGTAAAGGGAATTCTCCTTTTTTTTTTTTGGATTTTGAACTGCACTTTTAACTTCAAATGTGTAATATGGTATGCTCAATGCAGGATAAAGGAAACCAGTTTAATAAATTCATCAGCAACGGAATGATCCATAACTTTGAATAAACTACATTGCAACCGGAGCTTCATACACAGACATTGATCAATTGTATATCGTGGAGGAGCATCTGGTCATTTTTGGTTACAAGCCTTGTGAAAGTGAATTAATATGTAGTTCTATGAAGCATTTATCATCTATACAATCACATGTACATCAGGGAAGATAACTTACATGGTATTGATACAGAGACCTACTGAATTTTGTATTCTTATCTTAGCTGAGTAATGGCTGCGAAGATTCGCGATGTATTACGGCCCTGTGGCCACCTTCCTTCAATTTGCAAGTAACATTTAGGCTGCTTTGCAATTCAGAATTATGTGTTCGTAAATGAAGCTACCTCACATGGCTCCTGCTTTCCCCAAAATTGTCAGTTCCAAATTAATGTTTTATGTGCTAGACTGTGAACTAACAGCTGATGGGGACGGATTAGTAGCACCATTACCACCCCTCCCATTAGCATCGAGTTTGTCCACCTTGTTGCTCTGTTTCTGGTCCTGCTGCTTCACCATGACTGGTTGAAACTGAAAAAAACGCAGATTTCGTTAATTGGGAGGAGCGAACCAAATTGCATCCTGTACAAACTCTCTTTATTGAGGATTAGTAGATCTCAAAGTCAGAATACTAACCTGATAAACAGCGTATATGACATTCCTCCTGATCTGTGCCATCATCTCAATGAAAAGGTTGTACCCTTCAAGTTTGTATTCAATTAGTGGATCCCGTTGTGCATAGCCTCGTAACCCCACAGCCTGCTGAACAAACTTGAGTGCTTGCAAGTGTTCTTTCCACAGACGATCGATGTTGTTCAATATTAGAAATTTCTCTGCTTCTTTCATCAAACCTGGAGCTTGTTTCTCCACAATATCCTACACAGCAGCAATGAATATTCAATAGTAAGAAAAAGAAGGAAATGAAGAAACAATTCAATGCCTCAAAATTTCAACAGAAGTTGAAAAGTAAAGAACTTTCAGTTTGAACAAAATCCCTATCAAAATTTTCAAAAACTGAAGAGTAAATAACTTACAAAAGTTTGTCGTAGTAAATAAACCCATATGCCTTTTCTGTCAATAATTTCTCTTTTTTTTCCCAAATTATTCTCGGTACATGTTTGGTCTGATTATCAGAATCTAATTCTTAGTATGTAGAAGGATCACTATTTAAATTGAATAAAACATGATTAGTTCCGTTGCAGCATTGTCTTTCTGTAGTTCACGGATTGGAACTTTTTAATGTATTGACAATAGACTTGTGATATAATAATACCCAGAAAAAATGTTGATCTAGACAGGTGAAATAATCTGAACCAGTGAGGTACAAAATCTTGGCCAGTTCTCCAAGTAATTTATGTTTGATCCCAAGAAAATTAATCAATTAGACCTCTTCCCAGAATATTTTAGGTTGACCATGTGAATCTCCTGTATCATTCAAAAGATTTGTTAAAATTAGAATATGTCACGTTGAGCATTGACCTATCGCAACCACTCTGCCTTATCCGAGCTTAAGACTAACTATCAGATATGCAGTGGATGTGCAAGAAAAAGGAAAAGGAATTTGGAGTTAGCATTTGGACTTTGAGGTAGTTTTGTTCCTCCACCTCTCTTCTGTTCCATTTACACCTTCTGAACATGCATCCTACTACTACTGATTGCAATAGTATAGGTACGGAAAGGACCTTGTTATAGATAAATTAAAAAGATTAAGAGTAATTCGACATTTCAACTTGATGTGGAGTATGAATATTATCCCTTACCAATAAATGAACTTTAGAATTGTGTGAACAGTTTCATCTAGAAGCTTAAATTTTTATGCATTTATTTAGGTCCTAATTCTCTTTCTTGGATCAAACTTTTGACCCATTTGAAGAGTGCAGTGAGACTCAAACTTATGATCTCTGCTCCTAATGGTATTTATTGAATTGTGTGACCGCGACGTCTACAAATGCAAATTCTTAGAAAGGAGACCTTTTTAATTTGTTTAAGTCTACAACAGAATGTTAGTTTTCGAGAGAACTACTTGCACATCCGATCGGATTTAATGATGTTAAGTTGACCTGCATTTTGCTAAAAGATAACAAGATCCTCTCATCACAAGCAGATCTAACGATTATGTGAAATGTCCTTTTTTCCTAATGAGAATTGCAACCTCTTACTCCCTCCATCTCTTCCAACCAAACTTTTCTTTTTAAATGCTCGGTGTTTTAACTTTTAAATACTTGAAGACAGTATTCAATAATTACTTTCATCTTGCAAGGATCACCTATACTAAACCTAATGGTTGAGGTAAGAGCTGGAAAGAAATATAGGAACTACAACCAAAGAAAACTGACCCTCTTCTGGAGATATGCTTCACGTCCACGTAGCTGAAGATACTGCTGCAATTCTTCATAAGTAGAACCATTACTCGTCAACAAATCAGGTGTCAAATCATTCAGCAGATAGCAATACCTGTAAAGGTCAAGCAACTCAGAGTAGAATCCTAATACTAATACACTATTCAAAATTTGGAAGGACATTTGTGTGAAATGGAGCTTAGGTGACAATAACCAAAGCATGCTGGTTACAGCACTCTTAAGATACCAAAGCCGTTCCTTTGGTATACAAGTACAAAAGATGCATGAAGTCGTAAACAAAACGACATAGTAAAGCTTCTTCACGAGATACTTACTGTTGGAGCTTTGAAATAAGCTTCTCGAGATCCCAACTTTCTCTTGGAGCATCAGGACCAATATTTGCCTGTTATATTTCAACAGAAAAGAAAAAAGATGTCACAAATC